GCTTTACATAGAAAGTATCCCAAAGAGCAAATACTTTTGGTGAGTTACAATGTACTCACCTTAGATATAGAAAAAATCCATTATTTAAAAATCATTTCATTGGGTATATGTAGATAGTATATATTTGATATTTATATGGATGCATTTATATTTTACTTATTTAGGAGTTAGGCTATCCCATATGCCCTTCTTCCTGGTATTTCATGTCATCCTAACTGCATCACAAATAGCAAGAAAATAGTTTTCCAATTAATAATTTCTAAAGCCATGACAGTCATAAATAAACCAAGATGTTTGAATTCTTATTAGTCATCATGATTTGAATCTTTGGGAAAATGGTGCATTTGAGGCAATAAATACATTAAAGATCTAACGTACCTAGGCAGCTAGCACATACAGATCACAATAGCACTGAGGATTAAGACAACCTCCTTAGCAGGTCTCCAATCAAGGTCCTATAGGAAAAGCTTGAGTATATGTGAACCCCCTTCCTTCTAATATTGGAAACTTGACTTATAATCAAGACATGCAGGAATACTATTAGGAAGAAAATAGAGTAATTAGGAAGAGGTTTGGATACTAGCTGGAAAGGATTAATATAAAAATTCAGTTCTCAAGTCACATTGAATCTTTGGTGTATAATGTAGGAAAAGTTTAGAGATAGAATTTTAAAACATGACCACTAGCTATGTACCAGGGGATGGATCTGTATTCACTAGTGTAGAAAATACATGTCTATTTAAATATATCTTAATAATTTCCTAAAAATTTCTTAGAAACCTTAGAGAGTCTAACATTTTCCCCACTTAATTATAACTACATTTTGATGGTATTTTTCACTATATAAAAAGATAAAAGTGTCACATACACAGAATGTATATGTGACAGAGTAAAGATTATTACCAGGAATAATCAGATACTTCATAATGGAAAGGTAGTCAATTCATTGGGAGGTGTTAACACTTCAAAATATGTCAGTATGTGCAAACTGACAGAACTTGAAGGAGAACTAAATCTATAACCACAGTCGGAGAGTCCCACCTCTTCTTTCAGTAACTGATGGGACATGTTGATAGAAAATCAGTGAGGGTGTAAAAATTATTAACCAACTAGATCTAACTGTTATTGACCGAGCACTTGAACAATAAAAGCAGAATATACCTTCTTTCCAATATAGACTACATTCTATGTAATGAAATAACTTTAAAGAAATTTTAAATAATTGTAACTGCACAATATAAGTTCTGCACCAGAGGTCAGTAACAGAGAAATCTATAAAAATGCCAAACTGTTCACAAACTACCAACACATTTCTAAATAATGCATAGGTTTTAAAAAAAGAAAATAACACGGCAATTAGAAAATACTGGAGTGACTGGAAATCAAAATGCCTTTTATCAAAATTTGTGATGGACTGGTAAAGCAGATTTTGGGGAATGTCTATGCAGTGAATAGTTATGTTAGAAGAAAGGTCTAAAATCAACGACCTAAGTTTCCACTCAAAGAAATTATAAAGGAAGAGAAAATTAAACATGAATTGTGAATAAATCAGGGAATAATTAATTTTAGAATGAATCAATGAAATTTAAATGAAAATGTGGAAAAAATTAACAAAATCAAAAGCTGATTATTTGAAGAGATTGATAAAATGGATAAACCTATATCCAGATTAATCAAGACATAAAGGGTAGTTGTAAGTTTTCAATATCAGAAATGAAATAAGACATTACTACAGATCCTATAGTAAAGATAACAAGGAAATATTGTGAGTAGCTTTATTTTAATAAAGATTTTAGATTCACAATCTGAATTACTAGCTGAAAAAGTAATTTTAGTATTCATTGAACAATTCACTACATCTAAAAAATAGAAATAATATTTAACATACTTAACTCAGTAAGCATGGTCTATATCAATTCGAATATAGATAATGTTTTATTTGCACTTCTGAAATTTGCTTCAAAGATAACATGCAACTGATATATTTTATCACATTATGGAGTACTTATTCCATATTATGGAGTACTTACATATTATTTTGTAAGATAATATGTGCTAGAGTATCTCCTAAATAAAGGCTGAATCTTTGAATAATGCTTTCCCTAGATAATAACAGGAAAGCAAGACTTGCCTACTGAATATAGGTAGTCCTCTCTTTTCTTTTGATCTGTTTAGATGATAAAGACATTTTGTAGAAAAAAAATGCAATGTCAATAATACTAGGAAGTTTGAATCTCTCAATCTGTTGAATTTTTCTTCAACAAAAATTCAACTTAAAAAGTAACCTAAACTTCAAGTTAAAAGCAACTTAAAAATGACGTTTTTATTCATTTGGAGAACTATTTTGCATAAAATCACAAAATATCTTTTGGAAGACACAGTTTTCTTAACATGAAAGATTAAGCTAGAATAAATGTATACAATTAATATCATGTGACATAAGTTCTCACATAGGACTGATGACCATCTGTATGACCTTGCACTGGATAGCATGGACAGCAAATCTGTAAATCATTTCTGAAATGTTATCACTCCATCAATCCATTACAAGAAGAAGGGATGGAATGTGGACAAAGAAAAGAAGACGTTTCTTCTCTAACACACCTTTAATTTGACAGCAATGATTACTTGAACTTCAAGTAAGGCAAGAATGAACGGATTCTTCTAAAGTTCCACCCAGAAAGAGACAGGAAGAGGACCAAAGTTATAGAGTTCAAAGATTTCAAGGTAAAAGAGCCAACAGGCAATGTAATTAAAAGTGAATACAAAGATCCATAGAGATATAAAAGAAGTGATATAATTGACTTCTGACTGATGAAATTTGAAATTACTTGAATTTCCTCAAAACATCTTCCAAATTCTGGTTTTTGGTTGAAAAACAATGATATAAATTTGAAATACAAAAATAAAAAGCATACATCTTATGTCTTTAAATAAATATGTATTCCTATACCTATCAACTCTGTATATAACTTTATATTCTAATGTCAAGAGAGGCCATTTCAGAGGAACCTTAGTAACTTGTTCAGTGTGATACTAAAATAAGTCATCATTTGATTAAAAGAAGCATTAAATAGTTAGAAATTTGGAACTGTCATCTTAAACAGGGGCACTGTGAAATCTCTTTAAGAAAATGATCTTGAAATTTGTACGTTTTAACAATTGTTTTTGCCAAAGGTATTTTTTTCCCATGATACTTTGCTTAATAGAAACTTTAAAAAACATTGTTTAGAAATTGCAGAATTTTATTGAAAATATTCTTCCTGTTAATATACATCTTTAAAACAGTGATACCCTACTTCTGTAATTATTTAACAGTAACTCTCTTGGGAAGGACTAAATGTCAGGAACTATAGAACTTTCAGATCAGTAACTTATATCATAATGTACATAAGCCTTAAACTTAGGTGAATTTTGCTTTGCAAGTATATGTTTTGAGTTTTCATTTGAGAGCAGTTAGAATATTAGACATGTAGTATTTGATACATTATTGTAACTTCCAGTCACTGCACTACATAGTATTGAAGCTTGGTTCTAAAAGATTTTAGTACTTCATTTTCTTCTGTAAAATACAAATTTTAATTGTCTTTCAAATGTAGACTTGCTTGCTCACTTGTGACTGGTGACTCACTTGTTGCTAATAGTTACATTAAAAATTTGGAGCTACTTTTGATGTAATAGAAGAGCGAGCAGGTTTACACACCGAATCTATTAGAGGACTCCATCTCTCTGCATACTAGGAGAAATGTAGAAAACAGGAAATCACAGGGCTTCTTAAGGCCTTTTCTTATTCTTATTTGATTAGATATCACATAGGTTCTAAATTTGGGGAAATAAGTGTGAGCACACTATAAGATGACTTACTAATTCAGAACAAAAGGACATTCCAGAGGAGGACTTTTTTGATTCTTCACAACTTCACTGCATAGCTATGGTTTTAGTGGGAATGCCTGGTGTGTAGACTAAGGAAACAATTAGAAGCTCACACTGGGTTCTAAATATGGCTCCTTCAGTGCTTATGATGACCTTGAGGAAAGCTCTTGGTAACTTAAAAAGAAAGGAAAAGAAAGACAGCTATTAAACTGATAAGTGTCAGTCACAGTGCTATTTGAACATGGAGATAACAGCATTTCAGAGACAGCTGCCATAGGAAAGTCTGGAAGTACACTCTATCAAAGGAAAGTAAAAGTATGTGCAATGACACTGAAGTTCATGTAGAGATGAAAAACATAATTAAATATAAATTATATGAATGGCAAGATGAGGTACTTTATCAATTTATTTGACCTGTCCAGTTAATATGGGTTACTTTACTGACTTAAGTCTCTGTAAGTCATTTGAATAATATTGTTGAAAGTTCATGCACACATTTGGTAAGCGATTCCTTCAGATGACCTTATGATATTTATGAATATAAAAATTTGAAATTGTACCCTTTTCCCTAAGCTTCTGAAGACATTTGTATACAACAATAATGAAAAGCATATTTCCAATTATTTTTAGTCATGTTTTGATTCATTAGAACAGTATGCCAACTGCAGGAAATCCTTGTGGAAACAGAAGAAACACCATTAGAATAGCACATGGATTAGCTAGTTTTGAGAGTAATGCCTGAAATTTATTGAGAGAATTGTTCAGAAAATTAACTGATAAAACTCTGCTGTAGAGAACTGGCAGAAGAGGAATGTTTCTCAACAGAGCCAGGTGAACAGCAACACCAAAGATGTTCAGCTTAGAGCTCTTCATTACCTCCCCAGAAACACACATGCAAACACCATCAAGCATTTTCATAAACATGACCTCAAATGCAACAGATAGGTTTTTGTCTATTAACTGATAACTTGACATAGCTATGTCATCTGAAAAACACCCCAGTAATACTTTTTAAATGAATCCTCAGTAATATTTTGCTCTCTTCAATAATTTTTGAATCTTGATAAGGGAGAAAAATAAGACTTTAAATAACATTTTCACAGAATTTTTTTTATCAACTCTCTTACCATCAAATGTTAAATAAACTCTTGCTTGGGGCTGGGAAGATCCTTTTACACAGATAGTACAAATAAATACTCCAACCAACATGCATGTTGCTCGGAATGCCATTCTTCAGATTTGAAGGGTAATACACCAGAGAAAATACCTTGAAAGGAGAGATAAAAATTTGTGGTTGCTTATTTCACATTTTAGGTGTACAGAAATACAGCAACAACAACCCATTCACAAAAGATGCATCTGAACTCTTGCAGCAATGCAAACAGTAGGAGGTGCTGTGACTTTGCTTCTCATATGCGAAAATTTTTATTTATTTGGGTCTGGAATCTTTGCAATAAGAGAACTGTTTCATCTTCCAGAAAAAAAAAAATGCTAACATCAAAGCAGAGCAAAGCAAGTTAAAATATATTGATTCCCAATGGAAAACCCAATATTGTAACTGATCTTCTCTCTAAAATTCCATTCCATTTAAAAATGACTTGAGAGTGGTAGCAACAGATTATTGCTCCCCACAAATGCAGTAGCAGAGAAATCCCACATGAATGCTCGTGTGTGCCCACTGACTTCCATACTCATTAGATCTTTTGGAGTACTTATCCCTAAAATGGTGTTTCTATACATAAATCTTTGTCTGCTCAATACTTGCTTACTAAAATCACTTGAATCAGTTATTTGCCAATTGATTCAGATTATGATGCAGCTGTTAAATGATGCAGCTGAGGTAACCGTGGACTTGTGCCAAATTCAAACCAATGACCTAGTGGTGAGTAATCCAGTGAGCCTTGTATCCACCAATGCACATTTTACATCAATCAAACAGAAAGCAGCTGTCAAAATTCCAAAAGATAAATCAAAGAGACAATTATTACTGCTTAAACTATAGCTATAAAATTGATACATGCTATTAACTAATGTCTGAATATGAAGGAAGATCAGGTGATGTATTGAGGCAAAACTGAAGGAGAACTAACTAGTGGCCACACTATGCAAAATAAGCATGGTACCATAAAAGAAATTCCATCATTTTGCATAATGTACTGAAATGGTACATTAAAATGACACAAGAATTTAATCTAGAAATGTATTTACACAGGTAACGATACTGATCTTCAATATTATATGGTTCTTTACATTGAGTATATCATTTCTATTCAATAAAGAAGTGCTGTTAAAAATTGAAAAGGCTGCTTCATTAATACAGAAGAAAAAGAGCAAGTAAGCTAAACGTGCAATCTTAACCAAAAATAAGTTGCGTTCATAGGTAGTGCACATGCTATGAGAGTTAGAAATGAAAATGCTTCTTGTACCACACAGATGGAGGAAACCCGAGGAATGTTTGTGTTGGTAATTTTCAAAAGAAACAGTCTCTTCCTGCTTCCACAACCTCTTCACCCTGTCATCCCTAAATTAACTTAGAATAAAATGGACTTTATGGGTAACTTTCCCTTAGTAATTTGCCCCTTGGATTTGTTGACTTTTTAGTTAGAGGTCCCCTTCCCCTCCCCCAAAGCCTCCAAAACCTATCAATATGCTCAACCCAAGTCTGTTTACTAGCCTAATGATATTTACACGTTTTTCCTATATTGCTATTACCGTATCTAACCTGTTATGTCTCCCCCAAAGGGACATGTGCCACAAATTGCAAAGAATAATATTGTGGATAAAATGACAGATCAAATGTTCTGTTCTACAGAACAATCACAGTATCACCTAGTGAGGAGAGGGGAAGGCCAAGTGTCTGCACTTCTCCCCCCACCCCCATTAGCTTACAGCTTCTTCCCTTTCACTCACACAGTTAGAGTGGCGCTTCGTGTTTTCACTTCTACTGATCGCTAACTAGTAATTTCTAAGAATCCTTTCATGTCCTGGAGACCAATTTTGCCCTAGAAGGCATCCTAATACCCAACTTTAAACTCTCCGCAGGTGTCACAGCTTAAAGAAACAACTCCAGCAGGGCTCTCAGCACCAGGAACCCTTTCCTGACAAACCGCGTGGGCTCCTAAGAAAATGCCCAGACGAGCACACCGACGTATGAAAAGTCAACACATAGATCAAAAAAGTTCTACGTTGCTAATTCTGTAATGCTGAAAAAAAAAAAAAAACGAATCCAGCTTACCGAGGTTGGAAGCAATCAGAGCCGCAAAGTCATCAATTTGCTACCGGGTTGGATCCACCAATCTCCTCTAGTCCTTTTCCCAGAAAAGCTTAATTTCCAGTGAGTCCGAGCCAGCGTGTGGGGAAAAGCTTTCCTCCCTCCGGGTCCTGGAGTTTCTTTGTAAAGGAATCCTCACGCTGCAGTGCCGCGGCACCCGGAGCCGGTCTCCGCGTCGCGCGATCCAGCACCTCGCAGTGAATGGCAAGTGGCCGGCGCGGGGGGCGAGCGCTCGGGTGTCCGGTTACAGCGACGCGGCGCGCGGCTGGGGCAGCCCGGGCGCACCGCCCAGCCGGCTCGCAGCACCCGCCCTGCGCAGCGGCCGCATCTCCACCAGCCCCGAGGCCCCACCCAGAGGGTGGCGGGGAGCCGAGGGCGGACCCCGAGCGCAGCTGCCCTGTCCTCCCGCGCCGCCGGCTGCAGGACCGGCCCTGCTCGCTTCTTCTGCAGCCCACCGGGCAGTGTAAGCAACTTGCACCGTGCGCTCCAAGGTTTTGTTACCGCCGCTCTTGGAAAGCACACGGGCTTTGCTTGGTTGTAAATATCAAAGTGCAAAGCAGTTTTTTGCCAGAGAAGGATGACTGCATCCTTTTAAGGCAAAGAGTTGCGTTTTTAAAAGGGCACCAGTCTTGTCCTTATCCTGTAGCAAATTTTCTAAAGCCAGTGGGAGATAAACCTACAATCTTGTCTCAGAAGTTTAGCCTTTTTAGGGATGTCGTTTTCTATTGCGTTTCCTTAATGTCCCAAAGGCAATAATTCTGTTGATTTCTCATATTGAATCATATCCAGTACTTTCCCCTCCCCTGAACATAATTACAAGAAATTATTTCACAATTTTTTTTGAGGAATGCTGTTCTAAATGATGCCAACAGTTTAAGGCTTACAAATCGAATCATCAGGGGTGAATTTCCAACATTGCTTTAGGTATACTCGTTAAACTCTGCAAGTGCTTTTGATGTTTGGTGAAAATTATTTCTTTCAACCACAATGAACTGAATGGGGGTGGGGGGGAGAACAGTTTTGTTCCACTTGTTCAAAATCACTGTGGGCAACAGTCCAGTAGATGTCACTGTATGGAGGGAGCGTTGAGTGTAATTTGCCCACCTTATACCTTACGATTTTCTTTTGATGAAATAAAACAGAATGGTATAGTTCCTATTAGTGGCACCACAGGAAACACCTCTGAGAATACAGAACATGGTTCAGTGGGACAGAGGAATGAAATCTTGAATAGGAGGGGTGATGACTGAGGAAAATCTTTCATGTGTCTACACACAGTCTCTTATGCCCAGTAGACATAAATAAACATGTCTGAGTCTTGCTGTATACTTGAGAAATGAAGGAATCAAGTCAAATAAGACTGTGCTTTTGAGTTCATGCTTGCAACAAAGCCACTTTATTTTGGTCATCTAAAATCAAACTTGCAGTTTCTCTGAGGTATGCCTGAAGTCCAAATGGTCAAAAAACCTATATAGATGTATCTCAAAAGAAAACACATGAATGGCTAAAAGATATATGAATATGCTCACATCACTAATAGTTAGAAATGTGCAAATTAAAACCATAATGAACTATCACCTCACACCTGTTGTAAGGCTATAATCAAAAAAGATAAAATGTAAGTGTTGGCCAGGATGCATGCACTGTGGTGAAAACTAGTACAACCATTATGGAACACTGTGAAAGTTACTTCACGATACTACCAATAGAATTACCTTGTAATCCAGCAGTCCCACTTCTGGGAATTTACCTGAAAGATGTGAAATAAGTATGTAGAAGAGATGTCAATATTCCCATGCACATGGCAGCAATATTCACCATAGCTAGGTTAGGGAACAGCCTAAGTGTCGATCATGACCATGGATGAATGGGTAAAGAAAATGTGGTACACATACGTACATTTATGTATGGAATATATAAATGTATGGAATACTATAGCATACAATTCTACTGTACGATAGAACACTATACAGACTTCTGCAGTCATCGTGCCAACATGATTGGAATTGGAGTATATCAAACTAAGTAAAATAGGCTTAAAATAAATAGGTAAATACCACATGTTCTCATTGTCTGTGCAGTCTGAAATAATTGGTCTCAAAGAATCAGCAGTATGGCAGTTAGCAGAAGCTGGGTAATAGAAATGGGGAGGTGACAGTCAATGGTCATAAAGTTTCAGTTAAACAGGTGCAATGTCTGACTTTAGAGATAATTTCATACATGGTGAATGTCACCAATGTCAATATCACTAAGAGAATAAGTTTCTAATGTTCTCATATTTGAGGCAATGGACATGTTAGCTAGCTTAAGTTAATCTTTCCACATCATATTAGAAATGATAACACTATATTTTCCCTATAAAGATATACAAGTATAATTTTTCAATATATAATGAAAAATGTCTACATGTACCTGCTTAAACATTCAAAAAATTAAGGATTCAAAAATAATATCTTAAGGACCATATTATCTTCAAGCTTATCTGTTTTTGAAAGAACTTTCCAAATGAACAGATGTGTTATTTCAAAAAAAAATATAGTAAACTGTTTTTGATGACTAATACAATAAAAATGTGAGCAGCTTCCAACAGAAATTTGTAAATGTAGATTTAGCCCATGAATCACCTGGCAGTATTAGAAACCAGACATAAATGTAAATGAGCACTATGCTTAATACTTCTGAAACTGATTCAGAGCTAGATTTTATGCTTTCTACTACTATCATGGTACACATATCTCATAGTACAGGGTAAGGAGAAAAGGTGAGGAAAAGTATGGAGGGCTTTAGGCTTATTTTTAAACATGATATATTTACAGGTAAAACACCAAAGCAAAATTCCCACTGAATAACAAACAGACACCTAAGCAATGAAGGACAGGAGTGTAAAACAGGTCACGTTAAAGGGAGGGCACTAGTTGGAGGGGGAGAGTAAATGAAGAGAGTAAAAGAGGGTGAATATAATTTATTCACTTTCTATACAACTATCAGTGTGGAACATTGAAACCTGTAGAAGTCATAGTGAGAAAGGGATGGGGTAGAAGGGAGAATAATGAAGGGGATGAACCAATTTGGGGTACACTACATCTATATATGGAAATGTCACAATATAGCCCCCTATGTAAGTATCATATGCTACCAAAGTGTTTTGGAAAAAACAAATGAAGGACATGAAGGTAAAACAGATCCTTCCTGGGGATTGGTACTAATAGGAGTGGGAACATAAAGAAAGGGTGAAGGAGGATGAATATGATAGAAGTATTTTGTATTCATGTATGAAAACAGAACAATGAATGCTGTTGAAATTGTTCTAAGAAGGTGGGGGAGAGGGAGTGAAGGAGAAGGATAGAGGAGGTGAATCTAGTAAGGCGTATTGTAAGCACTTATGTAAATATCACAATGTATCTCCCTGTACAACTATAATATGCTAATATAAGAAAAACACTGAAGGATCAAATAACAAGGAAACGTTAGCCTAAAAAAAGGAGAAAAAAGAGTGAAGCATTACAAAGAAAATGAGTGTGAATACTAGCAAATTATAAAATTCTCAATTGAGACTGTGAAGCCATTAGAAACTGATTAATCTACAAATCCATGTAAAGTAGGATTGTTTTATACATTATGTTTTTAAGTTTCAGGGAGCCAAGATAAAAATTAAAACACACAAGGTGAATGCATGGCAAATAGTATTTATGAGGGAGTAATTCCAAACTGGATTTTCAAAAACCTGGAGAATTAGTTCAGTCTTTCACACATACTCACAAGGTTTTGAGAATTATGACAAAGGGCTTAGATTTAATTACAGCCTCTGAAACTCATGCTGAGATTCCCTCTGTCTTGCCTGAATAAACTTTTTTTCAACATGCTCCTGGGAGTTAATGGTATTTGCTTAGTCCTGCGACATTTACAGTGAGCCACACCTCAAAATGAGTCATGAAAATACTGATAGACATTAGCTGAGACAGATTGAAACACAAGGAAACAATCAGTACTCATGCTTACCTGGAATGTAGGCCACATAGTGAAAATTTTAGAGTGGCATTGAGTGTACCAGAAAATCTTATTTCTGCCCCCATGGTCCCAAACTGCTTAGAAGCCTAAACACCTTAACAAAACAGGGCTTATCTGAGAGAGAGTTGTAAGCCGGATTTCTTTTTCAGATTGTGGTCTTTGTCCTTACAGGTGGAAAATAACATGAACTAATTGAGAAAGTCAGTTTAGGAAAGGGGACACAAGTTGGATCAGTAGGAACAATAATAGGCTTCTAATTATAAATTCTTTCCCCCTGAAATGTCTTGGGAAAAAATATCCAACTTAGAATACTGAGGAGCACTGTATCTTTCCAAAAGATGCTTTCAATGGTGGTTTACTTTGTCCACATCACCCTTCCTTCTCCTTAGACTACATTAGCAGTTTTGACACCAAGCTGGTCAAACAGGTCTGGTCTAGAAGTCTGTGTAAGGAACTGCTATCTGATAAGCTTTAATATCACCTCTTTCAAAATAAATCCTTATCATTGAAAGGGGTGAGTGTGTCTCCACTTTCATTCTTACTCCATTACTAATTTATATCCCTGACTCTCGATCTGTTTCTCTGTTGCTATGTACTAGACTCTATGCCTAATTGTAAGGTCTATGGCACTGAACAAAATAAGCTAGTGACAGTGATTTGCTCTGGAAAATGACACTGTCCAGAAAGAAAATTTTTATTGTCTTGTTATACCTTTGCCATTTGAAACCAGGTGCAGGTATATTATGAAATTTAAAATTTAAGTTTTTAATATTTCTTTACATATCTTTATATATCTCAAATATAGTAAAGTGCAATATTTCCAAACTCAACCAAAATAAGAGTATATTGCCTCTAATGGTTTTATATTATAGTGTTTCACTTGTAAAGTAGATCAGTAAACAGAATCTGTTAGTGATTTTGCTTTTTTTAGTTAAAAACTGTCATCTGTACATGACAAAAATGGTAAAAGACTGTTGTGATCAGCTTTTCATCAAAAGGAGAAAAAGTAAACTCTGTTTTGTCCTTTTTGCAGTATTTTAGGTGACACCCCAGTGAGCATAGAATATAGGTCTTTGGGATTAACTATATACAACTGCAGTGGCTCGGTACCCCACAGTTACTTAAAAATTAATGTTTCTTAGTTAAATATATGCACAGACACCACAGTCATACTCCTTTGAGAAAAGCTATCACTTTTATGGGTGTTTTATATCTACAGCTCTCCTCACCTGGAGTGCAAAACCCTTTCCCATATCTATTCTCCTAAAGAGCCATGAGAGGCCTG